TTTAAATATACAGGAGCACTCATAAGTACATGGATTTCAGAACTTACGGAGGTACTCGAAGTGTAGACGTCAGTGCACATAATTTACTAAAAGAGAAATGAAGTTATGTAATGGATTTAGCATTAATGTTGGTACTTCAGTGAGTGCTATTAACTCTTTTAAAATTGGTATTAAAATTGGTATTAAAAGAGTTAATAGCACTCACTGAAGTACCAACATTAATGCTAAATCCATTACATAACTTCATTTCTCTTTATTATGTGCACTGACGTCTACACTTCGAGTACCTCCGTAAGTTCTGAAATCCATGTGATGTCAGAGAACACAGCTTAAGATAACAATATTATTTACATAGAAAAGTAAACAAGTGCACATAATTTCTAACATTTATTTTAATCATGTGGATCATGCCATTTGAAGTTCCACTCTTGTTTTTAATTATTCAGGCTTCTTTTATAAAGTCACTCTATACATTAAGTTTTGACAAAAGAGATATTCTACAATCAGTTGTAAAAATTTTAAGTAATTTTAAAAAATGGTTAAGAATCACAGTCATGGTTAATTGAGGTTTCTTGAATCTCCATAACAGGTTCTTCCCCCCCCCACCCCCCCCACCCCCGGGTGTGTGATAGAAAAGATCCTCAGCACTTGATTTACATTTGCTAACCAAGGAATTTAGAGAACAGGTGGAAAGGCAAACTCAAAACACATTAAATCGTATCTAAAAATAAAGGTGTGTGATTGAGATTATAAGATAAAATATATTCTCGAGACAGGCTCTTAGAAGTTAAAGGGAGAGTGAGTCTCATGCTTCCGTGAGAGAAATCTCCTTTCTCTGAGTAGAAAAGGGGAAAACAGAGAGAGAGGTTCAAGGCATCTGGTAAAGGGCCAAAACAGAAAAAGGAAAGAGAGTGACTGTTTTTGAGTCATTAGTCAAATTACCCCATGGTGGTCCCCCAGGGCAGCAATTATAGCAGAACTTAAATCAAACTTCCAGGGGGCACCTGGTGATGGCATGCTAGGAATGGCCAGCAATCCCTGTACCAACAGATGAAAGATTTCATCTGTACCAACAGATGAAAGATTACTCCAAACTTTGCTGTGAAAGAGAGCAGAAAGCAAAGCGGTCAACGCTCGGAGGCAAGACACTTTGCTCTTTATTGGTCCTTCAGGATAATCACAAATCCTTATCACAGTTTCTCAAGCACGTGATGTGTGACAAGGGGGTCTTAATGGGAATTAGAAGGAGCTATTTACAGGAAAGATACGATATGCTAATCTGCCTGTTCTATGAGTTCTGCTAAACACAGCCTAAGGGACAATGCATACATCCCCCAGACCACCATGAGGCTTTTTGGGCTATGGAGGCTTCAGGGAAGGCAACTCCCTGTGGCTTTCCAATGGCAGAGTGGTCCCGCAGGCCTATGTCCTTCTCTGAAACCTTCCCTCACCCTCAGCAGCCTCTGTGTTATATTTTAGCAAGATAGGTATTATGGCTGATTTTGTGCTCTACATGAACCCCCAAAATGGCTCAGAGATAACAGTACTGGGAAGGGACATGTGTCCTCCATCAACGCTAGGGATATTCAGGATATGAGGATTATTGCCTGAGAAAAGATCTACTTTGTTCAAACTGTAGCCAGACTGGGCTCTAAGGATACTTTAGAAAACTATGGTCTGAATTATGAACCAGACTATCCCAAGAGCCTGCACATGAGAGAGATGGTTTTGATCACAAAGCATAGAATTTAAGACCCCACACACTGGAGCAGAACCCCCTGGATACATATTGTGGTTCTGTCTACAGCTGGCTACATCCTTTGGCAAATTACTTAACCTCTCTGGGGTCTCAATGTCCTAATCTAAAAATATACATTAAAATGATATTATCTCACAGATGTGTTTTGATGATTAAACAAGTTACCATATAAAAAGCACTTAGAACAGGGCCTGACACATAAGAAGTACCATCTTAAATGTTAACCATTGTTATATAACTTTTATACACCTAATGTTTGATGTTCACATTGCATTTTCTGTTAAACTTTTAAATATATCTTAAAGGGAATAAAACTTGTTTCACATTCAGATATTTTTGAAAGTGGAAAAATGGGAATATGTCCCCTGTTTTACTTGGAAGAAACTGGTATAACCAACCAGTATATTGGGGTGATATACTAGATAGCATGTAATTTACTAATAAATTAAGTATAGTAGGAAATAGTACATGTTCCGTAGAATTGTAGAAGAAACGACTAGTCACTACTACAATAATCTGAGAAGGTTTCATGGATGAGGTACAAATGGTCTAGGATCTCAAGGGATAGGTAGTAATTTTATTCCAGTAATTTTATGATTTCTTGGAAGCACTTCTTATTCATTAAACAGACAAAAGAAGAATGAATGTATACTGAGAAAGTTACCTACACAGAAGAGGACTCATTGGGAATTATGGAGGTGGGGTGGATAAACCTTGATAAAAACAATCAGATCATAAGGTTCTGAAAAGTAAGAGGTAGGGAATGGCGAGTCAAAGACAGCTATTGAACAGAGAAATGATGTGCCCTCATTTAGTTGACTAGATGCTTTTCAAGTCTGCAATGGAGAACAAGTTTTTTACCATAAAGTTGTAGAAAGAAGTTTAATTAACAGAACATACTATATAACATCTGAAAGTGAGAAAATTGGCCTGGCAGAGATATGCAGGCAGGATAATGAGATCTAGCTCACTGCCAGGAGATTAGTGGCTTAAGATCTACTTCCTATATTAGTTCACAATATCTTGACTAGGAAGAGGAGATAAGTCAACGTAGGCAAGCTCATCCATATCTAAATCATCCATAGTCTCTCTTTACAGATCTGGATGTATCAGTTGAAGTCAGGAAATGTGGAGGGTTCGAACTCCAGCAGACAGATAAAGCCTATCTACATTTTTCCTGTGGCCAAGGCCTAAAAGAGATTTTCTTCCTCCAATATATAGTTTTTTTTTTTTCTTTTTTTCCTTTGCTTTAAATGATAGTAGGCACTATTTGTAAATTATCTAAACAATGACACATCAAACACAGGCTTCAGCCTAATCACATGTTTCCAGGCTCTACCTTTTCTGGACCTCTCCATGTCCCTCCTCTATCTCCCCACCTGCTCCTACTGACACATCAATCATTGTGCCTGTTGTGCAGCATCTCACTTTAAAGAAAGGCATCCTACTCAGATCCTACTGGAATAGACTGAGGGGGCTATTTTTGGTACCATGTGAACTTAGGATGGAGTTAACTGGATTGGGGGTGACCAGCTAGAGTGAAAGCCTGCTGATGAGATCCCAGAGCTAGCTGTGTTGAACTCCAAAGGACATTCCAGACTCTGGAAACAAAGACCTTCTACTCTTCCCGAGGCAGGTTGTCAGCCTTTCCCTGGGATTTCTCACACAAATCCTCCGTCCCCTTTAGTTGAGGCAACTTGAGAGTTCCTTATCCATAAAACAAGGGATCTGAAATACTTAACAAAAATCTTCAAGGTAGTGTCTTTGGCCACAGATGATTGTTAACTAATACATGTAGCTGTCTAAGTGGACACAAGCAAATGCTTCTTTCAGAGATAACTTTTACTATTAAAGGTATTTTTAAAGACTCAAAAAAACCTACCAGACTCCACTAAAGAGTCTCTAATGGTAGAATTTCAGAAACAAATTAGGTAGCAGGAAGGTATATTTTTGGCAAGGGCTCTGCCTGGTGTTCCTTAATGATATCTTATAGTTTCCAGTATTGAATGTTGAAAAACCCTAGACCAGGGGATTAAAGTCCTAGCAATGGGTCCTAATCCTAGCTCTGTTTCTTACTACTACTTTAATTGTGGGCAAGACCTTTAACTCTTTGAATCCGTTTCCTCATTTGCATATTTATTGTCAGAATAAATAAGGGCACTTCCAGTTCTAGTATTCTATAATTATGCCATATTGCTTCTACTTGCTCACAATTGCAGCTTATCAATTAGAGTTCACAAAACAGAGATTCTTTGCAGAAGTGAAATTCATCAAGTATGTAGGATGTCCCAATTAATTCTCATTATTTCATTGTAATAGAGAGTCCTCACTACACATTCTGGAAGGGTGGGGGGAGAAAAAGTAATAATTGGGTGGGAAAGATTTTAATGTAAATACTGTTTTCCTCAGAAGGACAAAGCATACATCCATTAAAAAGAATATAATTTGTATTAATAAATTTCTGGTTAAAAGCATCAGAGCAATTAAAAATAGACTCAAATAAGTTTCAATATTAAGAAGTTATAGATAAGAGCACTGTATTTCTCTACTTAAACTATTTACTGTGATAATAATTGTGGCTAACACTTACTGAGTACCTAAAATTTGCTAGCAATTATGCTATCCATTAAAAGATTGAAGTTCAAAGGAATATTCTATTATCAAGTGCACTACCTTTTTGACAATGATTTTGAGTCCAATAAATATTCACTGTATTCTGCCCAAATTCTTAGTTTGATGTGCATTAGTGTTTTTCCAGACTTGCTTAATAAAAAATAGATTAAAAATAGAAGTTAGTTACCAAATATTCCAGTATTTGTATTGTCTTAGAGATGAAAGTAGCAAGTCCATATCTCATCCTAAGTCTCTTTTCTTAGATTGTTTTCCTGGACATAGTTCAAGTAGAACAACCAATTTATTTATGTCAGCCTTGCTCTTTTTAGTGATCTCTTATTGACCAGTGTTTTAGATGAAGAGGCTGGGTAGCAAACAATAGCATGCCACAGAAAGACTGACTAAGGCCTTCCACTCCACATTCACATTTCTCCCTTTCCATCCCCTGGGAAAGAAGACACAGGCTGGTTCTAGAATAATAAATAATAAATTAAAAGAAGACACATGTCTGGTTCTAGACATGACAGCTTTATACGAATGATTGTTCACTCTGAAATCATCTCAAATATGAAACCTGTATCTGTGCCCATGAGCATATGCACGCTCATACATTCACAGATAATCTTACTTGGTAAAATGACTTGTTGCTTCCAGTTCTGTGTCTTGTGGACGAAGATTATTATACACGTATTTCAGGTCTTGGATTCCACTCAGCTCAGGCAATCCTGCATGTAGCATCTTAGCAAAGCAAACAAAACCAAAGCAAAAAATTCAGAATAAATGTAAATCAAATCTTACTTAGTCAAGTTTGGTTAAGCTTACTTGGTTAATTCTACAAATACATATAAACAAACTTAACATAACAATATCTTTCAGTTTGTAAATATTAATGGATATAATTCATGTTTTTTTAACTCCTTGTACTTGCTAACAAAAGCAACAAAACAGTAATAAGAAGAACCAATAAAGTTGTCAAAGTGCTTGCAGATTAATAATTTAATTTGATCTTCACCATAAACCAGTGAAGTAAGAATGATAGTAAGATTATCCTCACCTTGTCTTCTTGTAGAAGAGGCATATTCAGAAATGGACTGTAGAATAATTAGGATTCTAGTGTCAGAATTTCTGGACCTACTATGTAAAATCTGAATAATCATGAAAAAAGTCTCTTAAGCTCTTTGAATCTCCATTTCCTTTTTAAAAGTAGAGATAAGAATACCTAACATGTTCTACGTCAATCAAATGGCTAATGAATAAGAAAAAGCTTATTCTTATAAATTGTTACATAAAAATGATATTGTAATACCCATTTTAAAGAAGAAAAACTTAATCCCCCCAAAAGTGTAAGTGAGGTGTCCAGATCAAATGGTGTATAGAGTATACAACTCATCCCTCTGTTTCATGAAAGAATCTTACATTCTTTCATGACTATGTGACTCATACTATAAGAACACAATTTTTCCAAGTTAAGTGGTGATTCCATTTGTTAAAAATTATTAAAGGAGGGCACCTGGGTGACTCAGTTGGTTAAGCAACTGCCTTCGCCTCAGGTCATGATCCTGGAGGCCCGGGATGGAGTCCCACCCACATTGGGCTCCCTGCTTGGCGGGGAGTCTGCTTCTCCCTCTGACCTCTCCCCTCTCATGCTCACTCTCTCAAAAAAAAAAAAAAAAAAAACTTTTAAAAAATTATTAAAGCAAAGAAGTAAAGATAGAATTATACAAAGTCTCAGATATATTTTTTTTCCTGCCAACCTTTGGAAACATACTATGTTTATATTATAATGTAGACTGAAGGGATAATACTCTTTTTTAATTATAGGCAAAAATAAAGAAAATGTTTTTTGAGAGAAAGTAGGTCTTTCTGAAATTTAAACTTTGAAAAAGAAGAAGAAAGAGGAAGAGCATGAAGAGGAGGAGGAGAAAGAGGAGAATGTCAACAGTACCTTTATGACTAAGATGATAAACTATTTCCTGCTCTGGAATAGAGGCACTCTTACTGTAGTGGGAAGTTAAGAACAATGCTATTAATGCTAAAAATAAAGGGTAAAGTGAGAATATGTTTAGGAAAGATGGGTGAATTGTGATTGACTTCATGAAGTTCAAGTGAGAAAAAAAATGGATTTGAAACTGTTTTCCTTTCCTACTGTCCCCACCCAGGCAGAGGCAACGGCATATATAGATGTATCCAGGAGAGCAAGACATCTCTTTCATTAGTTCACAAAAAGAATTCCAGAAGAGCTTCTAGAACATAAGATGTCAAGAGATGGGCCTAAAGAGGTAAGTAGGATAGGATCTTTTAGCAATATAAAAGTTTTGTACTTTATCCTAAAGGCAAGACAGCTCTTTCAGTATTTTTAATGGGCATGAAAATAATTGATTTGTGTTTTTAAAAGATCATCATTGTTATTTATGGAAAGTGTATTAAAGTGAGACCAAATAAAAGACTAAAGTAGGAGAATGTTTAGGAATAAAGAAAAAAGATAAGCTTTTGGATTTTAAAGATAAGTAGGAAGTCAAGTTGGGTGATAAATTGGATATATTTGGAGGGCTGGGTAGAATCTAAAGCATATAGCTGTAAATACAGATTTGGGAGTCGTTAACATATAGATGGTAATTAAAACCATGAAATGGATCAGGTAGTCCTGGAAAGTTGTTAAGTGCTTCTCCTCATGGATGATCAAAATTCTTGATATCTAATTTTGAGCAAATTCTCTTCTCCCATAAACTTTTTCCTGTTTTCCTATTTCCTTTTTCCTGTTTCACAGCACCATTTAAACTGCCACCATCGTCCACCTATCAAGAACTCCATATCCTCTTTGATTCCCTCTTCTTCCTGACTCCCAATGTCAGTACATTATTCTGCAAAAACCACCTCAATAGTCTCTTGTATTCATTCTCTTTCCCACTGGAATTACCATCCTCACTCAGCTCCTTGTCTTCATTTGCTTAGATAACTTGAATAGCCTTTTTCTAGTTCTCTAATCCCTCCCTCTCTACTTATATAACTTGAGTTATCTGTTTTAAGTCCAAGATAGATGATGGTACTCTCTTTACTAAAAGCAAAGAAACTTCGAGGTTCTCAGGTGTCTATATATCAAAGTCCAAAATCCCCATTCTGGTCATAAATGCCTTTTATAATCTAACTGTTATCTGTCATTTCATCAATTGCTATCTAGGTCTCCTTTGTACTACAGACCAGTACATTTGATTACCTCTATTTCCAACACATGTCACACGCATGCTCTTTGAGCTTCCACACATACTTAAATGTTTCTCTCAACCAAGATTCCTTTCCTTTCCCTCCTTATCTATTGAAATTCCTTTTGAAAGTGCAGCTTAAATATGTCTCTCTTCTTGAAGCACCACAGATTTTCTTGATAAGATTTAATTACTGCTTTCTCTGTACAGTAATGCAATCTCAGTCGCACCGCTTTCAAGTACTGTTTTGTTCACTTATACGTTTATCACATTCACTCTGAAGTCCTTTGAGGACAAGAAATGAGTTATTTGATGTTAAATTTTTAATACTGCCAAGCACGGAGCCTTGCAAATAGAACTTAATGTCTGTGAAGTAATACGTATATGCATGCGTGAATGAGCGAGTGAATGAATGAACGAATGAATGAAAAAAATGTCTGGCCTTCTAAGGTACTAAAAGCCTAGAAGTAGCAAGTTCAACCCTGACTTTTAAATTTAAAATAGACCATAGAGAGGTATATTCCCAGCAGCAACTACAGTCTAGATTAGACTTTATCTTTTCAGTTTTGTACTTAGAGTTCTAGAGAGGACAGTCCATCTGCTAACAAGAGGTTACTTACCTAGGCCTGAATTGCTTTGCTTTCTGGTTTCTCTGGATACTCAGAATTCACATCTGCTTGCTTATAACTCCATCAAACATTTTCTTGGGAAGTACACTCTATGCTTACTACTTCTTCTCCCCGCACCCCCATTATACACCGACTACCAAGTGCAGATGGCTTCAAAGTAGATGAACATAGTTCTCTCCTTGTTATGTGGTTGATTAAAGGTAACAAGTACGAACTTTGCCTCTGTTGAGAGAGGAGACTTTGAGTATTGTGACCCTGCCATCAGAGTAAGGACAACCTCATTCTGGGGTCCACTTAGTCATGTCAGTTCTCTGACTCACAGAGATGTGGTTCAAGTACCTCTTAGCCTAGGGTAATAACTTTAATTGGAGCAATAAGAAAAGGAAATGGTGGCTAGGCTAGTATAGGTAATGAACAGATACAGGTGATAAACAGATAAGTTCCTTTTTTAAAAAAATATTTTTATTAACATATAATGTATTATTTGCCCCAGGAGTACAGGTCTGTGAACCATCAGGCTTACACATTTTACAGCATTCACCATAGCACATACCCTCCCCAATGTCCATAATCCAACCACCCTCTCCCTACCCACTTACCCCCCAGCAACCTTCAATTTGTTCTGTGAGATTAAGAGTCCCTTATGGTTTGTCTCTCTTCTAATCCCATCTTGTTTCAGGACAGGAACACTTGTAAATTTTCAGCTTCTGTTCTCTTCCTACTAAGTCCAAAGCTATTTTGATAGTTATGCTTAGGGAAGCAGACACTCTTTGCCACCACACAGAACAGTTAGAAAGATTTCTTCTGGGAAATATCTGATATAATAATGGGTGTGATAAACATTTTAAACTGGGTGAATGGTCCCTGTGTTCTTTGGGAGCCTTCCATAATAGCTGATATTGATTTTTTAATGAGAGAAAAGCTGATGAAATACAGGCTTTTATGTTAGTGAATTAGCCAGCAACACTCTTGGGTCTCCTACAGATGTTTTGCTTTTAAGCAAGATGGGAATTTCATGGATTATTTTTTCCCTGCTTCTCCCAGGAGTAAATAAAAAGGACTGTGGATATCTGGAAATATGCTGCTCTCAACAAGGGATGAGCCATTAACTCCAATACTAGACTCACCGAACACTTGTGACTCATAATCCTGGATACTGACCATTCACAGAAGATAGAATTTATGACCCATGTTAATTATTTCTCAAGTTGTAACTGGGTCATGGAGTAGTAGATTGAGTTCTTTTAAAAGAAGTTAATACAACAAGAGTCCTTTTGAGAGCAAATTGAGGGAAATATTGATTACCCAGGCAGAAAATAATCCTTCACAGATTTAAATTCAGTTTTTATTTCATAGGAAGCTATGCCAGAGAAAATGTCCTGAAACTTTTATTGATGCTTTGGTTATTAACAGAATCCCATAAGAAAGAAACTTCAAAAGCAGAGACTGGAGAGGTAAAAGATCAGACACAGAGGGAATAACATACTATTGTTTCATATGTATTTATTCATTGGTCTAAGTGGTTCACATTGCTTCTGGTTTGTTTCAATTTCTGTGAGTCTAAATCTAAGATTATTTGCTTAATCTGAATTAGTGCTCTTTACTGCCAAAATTTACTCCTTAGCCTAGAAGTCAAGACTTGAATAATTAGAATATAAGAAGATTGTTATTTTGGGTGTATGATGTAACAGAAACCTTCAACATTTGATTTTAATATTATTTTATGAAAAATTACTTCAGATACTTGATTAAAACAACATCTACTTCTTTTAAATAAAAAAAATTATATGAACTGTTTACATTATAGTTTTTTGTTTGTTTTTTTAGAGAGAGTGTGCACAGGTGTAAGTGAGGGGAGAAGAGAAGGACAGAGAATCTTAAGTGGATTTCCCACTCAGCGTGGAGCCCACATAGGACATGATCTCACAACCCTGAGATCATGACCTGAGCTGAGATCAAGAGTTGGATGCTTAACTGGACTGAGCCATCCAGGTGCCCCTAAACTCTTTACTTTAGTAACTATTTTATATATTATGACACATGTGCTAAAAGTTTTCTTTTTAGATAGGTAGAAAAGTTTATTAAACAAGAGAAAAAAGCCCACCAATAGATTTTTCAATCAAGTTTCTCAAAGAGCTGTCATTTCACATTATTTTGGCATGCTCACTTTTGTTATTCAGCATACTTTTAGTGGCACCTGAGAAACAGCATGATCTGTAATTGTGCTTTTCTAATTTGGGTTTATTTTTAAAATGTCTGTGGCTGGTTCAAGTAGTTGTTAGATTATGGTACTTACTACTTGTATGTAGTTATTTATAACATTATAGACATTAAAAAATGCTAAATACCTCATTTATTGTATACATGAATTTTATCTTCCTTATCATATTGAAAATTTTAAGGCTGCCTAGGTGTCATATGTTAATGTATCCTCACAGTTTTGGCATACAGTAAATACTCATGAACTCATGGATTCGTGATTTAGAGCCTGTTAGAGCCTCAGAAAACATTAGAATGATACTACCTAAATATTTATATGTAAGTGGAGTCAAGTTCACAAAGTTAGACCTTGAAAAGTTTCCTTTGTGGTATAAAAACAGATTATGAGCCATAAGCCATCTCATGATTGCAATGTGGCCTAATAGAATTGGGAGATAGAATGCAAATCTACCAGTATGAATCATTGGCTATTATTAGAAGAGCCAACTTGAAAATTCTGGAGATGAGCAAAACTTTATATGTCTAGTTCACACATAAAGAAACCAAAGTGTCTTTACATATGATAGATGACATGTTTATAATATTTTTTAAAATACCTATTTTTTAAGACAGAGTAAGGTACCTATGTTGTTTGAAAGTTAAAACAAGGATCCAGTCATATCTTCATTGCAATGGGTCAACATTTATTCAGCGCTACCCAATAGAACTTTTCTGCAATGTTGGCAATGTTTTATATCTGCGTTGTCCAATATGGTATCACTAGCCATGTGTGGCTATTGAACACTTGAAATGTGGCTAACGAGACTGAGGAGCAGAATTTTAAAGTTTAGCCAATACTAATTATTTAAATTTAAATAACCACACATGAGTAGGGGATACTCTATGTGACTCTGCTCTTTTGGATTAATAAGGATCTCATATAATAAATTAACTAAACCCTACAACATGACAGGCACTGTGCTAAGTGCTTTATATTAATTATCTAATAGGGTTATTATGAAATATAAATCAATTAATACACATAAAACACTTAGTATAATGTTCATGCAAAACATTCACTATTAGGTTATTTATTCATCAGTCCTACAAGGTAGATGCTGTTATCTTCATTTGATAGATGAGAAGCATGATCTTATTGGAGTTAAGAATTTTGTGCCCTTAAAAGGAACTAATAGAATTATTGTTATCTGAAGGTTCTAAACCAGCTATTTTTTATGATTGCTTTGAATCCAAACACCATACTGATTTACCAAAGGTGTGTTTCTCTCCTATATTTTGCAACACTTCCTAGTATGTATGTGCCTAAAGGAATCCTCACATCCTTCTCCTAGAAGATATTTCAATCAGATCCCTCTCTTCTCACTGTGTATATCTAGTCTTCATCTCTTTAACATTGGGCAGTGGAATGAAACTTAAATTTTCATATAGGAACATGACTCAGTAGACCCAATGCGTACCACTAAATACAGTTGAGTTGCTAGGAAGCTGTCTTATATCTTCGACCCCCAGTTTCTTAATCTGGAAAAAGGCAGAGATTGGGAGGGGAGCCAGGAAAAATCCTTGCCTGGTCTACATCATTGGGTTGCTATAATGTGTAAATGAGACAGTATTTTTTAAAGTACCTTTGAAAAATCCTTAAGCACAATACAACTGATAGAATATTCTAAATTACTGTCCTTAATCTAGTATTTTTTAAAGTACTTTAGAAAACTCCTTAAGCACAATACAACTGATAGAATATTCTAAATTGCTGCCCTTAATCTTTAATCAAAATATATCGAGATAACCTCTCAAGACATCAATTTTATTGTGAATAGAAATGTTTGAGAAAATAACTGTGAACTAATGGAATGAATTATTAAGAACTGTGTTCATAAGTTATACAATGGTACTTTTAGTTTGTTCATTCCTTTCTGGTTTGAATAACTCTTTGGGGAATGCCAAGCCATTAGCAAAAATAGACTACTGAAAGAGAGATATAAATGAAGCTTATTATTTTTGTTGTTTCCCCAAGGGACTTACCATTTCTAACAGGTTCAAGAGCAGTTGACTGTGCCTTCTGACAATATTATAAGCTTGACAGCAAAGCTCCACAAAATCTTGGAAATGCTGTGGGTTTTTCCCACCCTCTGTAATAAAGTACTCCATCTCTGAAGTGAAAATAAAAGGTGCTCGGTCCCTACAAACCAAAAACAATAGCAACCATAAGCAGGAGGACAAATGGTAGGTAGAGCTCAATTAGGCAGTAACAGCAACTTATTTTCATTTGAATTTTTTATGTTATTTTCTCTCAGCTCTAAGGACTGGAATGACCTCCTTTATGGAAAAGCTGGAGAAACTTGCTAATGGTAGGCTTTGAATAGCTTAGCTGGGCTTCAACAGAGAAGGAAGAACAGGTTATTTTGCATAGATTCATATGGTCTTAAATATTTAATTCTGAGTTATATGTGATGGAAATATTATCCATTAAAATTAATCTAAGGCCAATTAATAACAAAGGCAATTTTACAGAAACTATATTGCTAAATTGTTGCTAAATTTTAAAATAAGAGAACAGACTGTATATTTGACCTTATGTTGTTGTTTTTAAGTTTTCTTTTTTTTTTTTTTTAAAGATATTGACTCTTTAGGGAAAAGGTTTCAGGTAATATCTAAAATATATAATGACAAATTCTTTTAGAAGGCAATTTTTTAATAAACAAAGTTAAATTCACTGTCATATGCTTTGTAAGGGAAATAAAAGAAGGCTGTTTTTTCATTTCACACTAAGCTCAATAAAAATACTGATCAGAAAGAAGGAAATATGAGCAAACCAATGTGAATTGGTAGGTTAATAATATTGCCTCCTGTAGTCCCAAGGTTGAAGAAATAGGAAAACAAAGGACCAGAGTAATGATCCTGTTTTCTCTATTTTTGTCATTTCTTTCTCATGTTCTTTGAGACATGAAGAGACCCAAGGTGAAACAAAAGCATTTCTAAGAGATTAGCAGAGGAAGGATTGGAAACACTTCTCTGTGATGCGAAAAACAATGATGAGACAAACCATGCTGATACTGATTTGACTTAAAGTCCTCTAGAAACATTTGAGATGGGAATACAGTTTGGGTAAAACATTGTTTTTAAAAGTAAAGATTTTGGGGTGAATTGAAATAAAAAATTTTAAAATTTGAGCCTAGCAGCCTAGATATAATTGAGGTTAGTCTAAGCAATAATTGAAAAAATTCATGGAGTATTGAGAAAGCTGCTTTTTAAAAAATGATAATAATAAAAATGATTATATTCTGTATTATTGGATGCTTAGCATTTGAATAAAAGTATAATACAGTGGAAAATCTTGCTAATCTGATAGAACTCTTAGAATTGTGGATATTCAAATTGGAAAGCTACAACCCAAGCATTCTGTAGGTGATCTGGATCAGTAGAATCTGATTACAGGCAAATATTTTAAGAAAGAAAGAAAATAAATAATGTACCTTTATTTGGTTGTGATTATTTTATTTATTTTAGTGATGCATGCTACCACTGACTGTCCACAGGGGAAGCTGGTGTAATAATATATTCAATCACTCAGTCATTCTTTATATTCAATCACTCAGTCATTCTTTCATTCGACAAAATTTACTGAGCACCTAGATACTGAGGAATGTGTCTTAAGAATCAAGTCCAAATTTTTAAAATGTTTGCCTCACATCCTTTTATTTTTGGCCTTCATTGATTTATCCAATTTATATGCTATGAATTTACTTTACAGCCCTGTGTTTTAGCCAAACTGGAAACAGAGCTATTGAAAACAGGAGATATACCATGGGTTCTAATCCTGGACCTGCTGTATCTCAATTCCTCCTCTCTGAAGTCTATGAGTAATACCCAGCTCTTAGAATTCCTGTGAAGATTACTAAAAAAAGTGTACACGAATGCCTGACACATGGAGAGGCTACACACTTGGGAACTGCTCTGATTAAAAGCGCTATGCAGAGGGCACAGACTGTAGCCCTTGTCAGCCAGGTTTTCAATCGTGTTCTAGCACTTAATACTTCTGTGATCCTGGGCAACTTACTTGTCCTCTCCATGTCTTAATTTCCTCCTCTGTAAAATAGAGACAAGGGCACGTGACTCTTAGGACTTGTGAGAAGATTAAGTGTGTTAAAGCATATAAAAGTATTAGAACACATAGTCTGGCACATAGTGAGCATTCAACAAATGTTAAATACTTATTCGTCCTCCAACTAATAAAAATAAATGGGTTCTCAGAACTGAATCTTGTCATAATTAAATCTCCCTCTCTCTTTAAAAATGCTTAAATGTCCATCCTTCCTTCAAAGTTTAATTTACTCTCAGCAACTCCCTGTAACCTCTTTGTGTGAATAAACCCTTAAGTGTACCTTTGAATTTGGTAGCAGTCGAACTTTTGAAATAATTTTAAGAGAGCCTTAAATTGTATAACTTCCTGAAATTTTCTTTTCTAATGTGATAGAGATTCTTTTTTCTTCCATATGCTTGATCAAATGGATTTCCCTTGGAAAGTTGTTGTAATTATGCTAGAGTTCATGTGATAACATATTTCCTCCTTCCATGGTTAGCGCCATTATAAATCAGATGAAGAAACACCACAGCAGAAAGTCAAATACATAAAAGAAACATTTCTAAATTGGAGAAAATATAAACTAATAGTAATATTGAAGGACCCAATCCTGGCTGTGTTTAAATATTTCCATAATCTAAATTTTCAGTGGGTCCAACAAAATAAAATGCTACATTTTTTTCTATATGACTTGCAGGACTCACTTCTGACCAATTTTTAAAATGACTTAGACTAAAATTTTTCTGTAAATGGAAAGAGGCTGCACATGCGAAACAGAATCCTATCCCAACCATACAAGCTGTAAGAGTCGTAGCTGGGATGTGCTTTATCAGTTCAAATGCTTTATCACTCAAATGCGAACCTAATCTGAGGTCGCAGAACTCATGTATTGGGGACTATATCTGAAGTTTAAGCAATACTTACAAATCTGAGATATAAATTGGTTGTGGCAAGAAAGCAGATTAGAAACTATTTGATCTCTTAGAGTCCATACTGTTAGTGCATCTGATTCATATGCTGACAACCTCTCACTTAGGGCTTGTCAAATTTACCAGAAATTTCTTGTTTTGACTATCCTACTCTATTTCCAGATTAGTGGTTTTACTATTATTTGCCTAAGCCCTACCTGTTCTTGCTTCTGTACCTTTTACCTGTATTGTTTCCTGCTTCTGGCCATATTACTCTCTCTCTGTGTGTCTCCCACCTAATGCCCTAATTGTTTTCTAGTAAGTCTTCTCTAATTTACCTATCCTTTGCTGATTTCTCTCTTACTTTGCCTTCTCTTTTAATTTAGCCCTACAGCTAATCTATTTCATTCTTTATAGTCTCTAGTTGTCTTAAGATTTTTCCCCCAAATGACCTGTATGATTTTCAAGGGGAGAGGCACTATTTTGTCTTTCCTTTATTTACTCTTAATGCCTCAAACAATATTTTGACAGTATTCTGCAATGGATGCAACAGCAAATATACATAGCTCATGCAGTGAAGAAGTTGGATAATTTAACATTTATGTGGGAAGGCCATTTGAAAAATCTTATTTTATTATAATTCTGCCATTTTGTTGTCAAAGTTAATCTTTTTATTAACTTATAATTAGTCCTTCTCTGAAAGTATTATTCTGTAAAAATGCTAAGAATATTTTCTAGATGTCCAATATAAGTGAGAAGTGAGTAGTACTTTAAAAATGCATATATACTTGAGAAATTTAAGGATATTTCTGTTGCAAACAAATACTGATTATTAAAGAGACAAATAAATTCATTTGATATGGGAAATAGCAGGACAATTAGTAATTTGCTGTTTGTTATTACTTTTGCATAAACCCCTTGAACCATTCTGTCAATGTAATCTCCTTGGATAAACTCACTAGAAACTAAGATCATCATCATTAAAAATGTATACATTGCCATTGCACTGAGGGTGCTTAAGTTTTCAGGATATGTCTCTCCATTAGGTCACTTTCATCTAGCCAGGGATGAATGGACCCAAAATGTTAGAGTACTGTAGTTATTTATCAACAAATATTTATTGAGCATCTACAATAGATATGTGTAAAGCTTATAGGTGAGGTTGAAGATTTTAAAAATAAACATTCTAAAAGCAATAAAAAATGTATTGATAATAATCAAAGTGTTTTGAAAAAGTCCCTCCAGCTGTAACATGGAAAAGAATTTGGAACAGGGAAGATGTATGTGAGTAGATCAGACAAGAGACTTTGCAGAAGATTTTGATTAGATATGAGCATAGTTCAGATTAGGACTGTGGCATGCAGATACAGAGAAGTGGGTAGACAAAAAATATTTTCAGTCAAAAACAAGAGGACCAAAACAAACAAACAAACAAACAAACAAACAAACAAAAACAAGAGGACCTCATACGGTTCAAAATGAATAGGAGAAGAGTGTTAGGAACAGGTTTAAATTTTTGGCTTGTATGTCAGGAAGATACAGTGCAACATTCAGAGTGGGTTCAGCTTTGAACGAGTTACCTTTGAGGTGTCTTTGAGACAGACAGGAGCAGATGATAATGAAGTATTGTGATCCTTATTTCCAGACCATAAAGAAAAGATCTGGAGGTAAAATTTTGTGAGTTAAATTTCTACTTTGATTACCTGACCTCAGGACACAAGAAATAATATGGTGGTGAATTCTCTGAGAGTTCTTTTTGCCATGTATATTCCAAACACAGAGCTCAAGAAGCTGGCAATCTGAAGATGCCAGTGGATGCAGACAAAAAACATTGCCAAGAAAAGCCTGCTGTTTCTAGCCGAAGGCCCAGGAAAGGGGTAGCCTAAGAGACAGACAATGTTTAGACAATAACCACTCTACTCCAGCCAAATAATGCAGGAAAAGAAAATATGTATAACTCCATCTCCCCCACCACACCAGTGAAGGCTCCAAGGGGATCCTAAAACTCCATTCTCACCGAGTTGTAATGAGGGACCTCAGTCCCGTGTCTGTGAGTAAGGAATTGGTATTGGTGGAGGCGTTACAGGATTTCTTTTTCTTTAGTGCCCTCAGTTCTTGTTCACACTGCTGTGAAGAACGAAAAGGTAGACCACAGGAAGAATGGCAGGCAGCAAAACAAAGTTTACTGAG